ATGATAGGCCGGCCATGCAGGGGGATTGCCATACTGTTTGTGAGTCACTCCGATGATCGCCAGCGGCCATGCCTCAAAGTCTTACCCACTACTCCTCGCCTACATCGTCCTACCACCTCCTAACGAAGGAGGCAGTGGTTTTGAGCCAAACGGCAGGATCGTGCGTGCTATTTAATGTGAGTGGTGCATGCCATGAATAATGGAGGCCAGTGTGGTGTGACCAGACATGGGCGATTTGTGCATCGGGCGCTAACGAGCTGCTCTAGTGCCATCATATCGAGCCTGACCGGTCTGGAGAAGCTAGGCAATGTGGGTTCGGCATATAAAAAAATAATCAGCAAAAATACCCACCATTGTGGCATGCGAGTTGGACCTAACAATTGGGACCCCCCGGTCAAAACGCTCACAAAATTTTAAACATGATAAATTATGACAACACTTTTGCTAAATGAGGTAAAACGAATGAAATCTCACTATATGAGATAATTAGTGTTAAAGATTTCATAATAAGGGTCAAAACCGGAATTCACTCTATTTTCTATCGTCGGTGATCCCACATGTCCAGCTTATGGTTATGGGACACCCATGTCGCCTTCGGATCGAAGGGTCGACCCAGTTCAGTTTCCAATCCATAACAGTTTTCCATTTTTGATCTGGCACGTGTTTCAGAACATCTATTTGGAATGCTGAACATCGTTTCCAGATGCATGCAATATAGGGTTATAGTCCTTGCTCGTAGGGATTGATCTAGGGCATAGAAAATTAGCTGCCTAGCTGGTGTGATCTGCACTAGTACCTGTCTAGTTTATTCTGTCAGATCCACTAGTGTAGGCCGGTGCCTTTGTATTAAATCCTGAATAAATCTAGCTGGAGCAGTTGAGTTTCTATGCTAGCCAGTTTTTAAATTAAGTCTCCCGCTCTCTTCGTGGCCCTGTTCTGGTGGACGCTGTGGGAAGAACGTAACAAAGGACTTTTGAACTTACGATGTAAGCGAGAGGACACGATCTCAAGGCAGATAGTCTGCATCGATTATCTTCTTGTTGCGATGAAAATGCAATGCTTGTTGCAAATAATTAAGAAAAACCTTTCCGGCATGTGCACCCCAAAACTGTACACAATACCATCAATGTAAAGTTAACGCCAAAGGTAAGAGGGCGACAAGCTTAATAAATATGGAGAAAAAATATGCATCCTTGGTTATAGATTATGTCACCACCATGGCACCATCCATGGTTTGACAAATCCCTTGGTTACATATGCCAATCGTTTGGCACCATCCTCAGATTCTCGATCAACATCTCGATTCAATATAGTCGATGCAAATGCATTTGTACATTATTGTGCAGTACTACTCGCATATATATTCAGGGAACGCTGTAGCCACGGGATGTACTTAAACAATTTGAAACCGCAGAGAGCACGGCTAACACACCATGCATGTGCTATGTACATGGTTTTAGTATAAATAAGCTAAAGGGACATGCCTTCGTCTCCTGGCATGGTGTGGTGACAGAAGCGAGTCTCAAATAAGAATTCGAACATAACCACATGCAAACCAGAGCTATTTGTTTTAACCAAGCAAAGCATCATGTTGGATTGGTTCTATACTTCATTTAATTTCTTCAAGAGGATTATATTGAAGGACTTGCATGCAACCTGACGAGTCCCTGCACTTCGAGTTAAATAGTACATCCTCCATTTCAAAAAGAAAGGCATCTTAGCAACAATGTCTTGGTAGTAAGTAGTGCATCCTCGATTTCAAAATGAAAGGCAGCTTAGCAATAATTCACATATGGAGTTAGAAGAGGTGTTTAGACTTCATGCATTGGTTCATGGAGTTGTTTATTATAAATGCTCTTGCATGCATTGGCCGATTGTACCTCGATTTCCTAATACGCGTTGCAAAACGTCAAAAAACCTAAGATGCACACCTCTTTGAACTGGAGGGAGCATTACACGCTCTAGAGGTTGAAGTGATTCGATAGTGTCAAAAAACATCTTACCCTATGGAACGGAGAGAGTACTAGTCTTCCCCAAAACTGGCTTTGATGCACCAATGGGGTTTTGAACCGTCCATGTGCAACCTGAGAAGGCTCCTGCGCCCTTTCTGCTTGCTAGTTACTCCCTCCGTCTTATATTATGTGAGTATATTGTATGATGTAATAATCGGAGGGAAATTTTTGGTCTATGGGTGTATATACATCATATATGAAAATAATGGTAACTAAATAAAAAGTCAAAAGATCTGAAAATATTTTTGAAACAAAGTTGACCTTCCATTGTACTTGCAAGAAAAATTCCAGAAAAAGGAAAAACCACGTTGACTTCTTTAAAAAAATTTAGTCAAAATTGTGTGAATAGTAACCTATAATAGCAAATATATTTTCTTTGCCCAGAAATCAAAGCGGGGTTTTTGTTCGCGAAAATTTGTATACTAGTGCATAATAAACTCAAGTTTGTTCTAAAAAATCAAAACTTTTTGACTTTTTTGTAAAAAGAAATTCTTATATAGGGTGTATATACATCCTGGAACCAAAGGATATTTTCCATGTAATAACGTCTTATATTATGGGACGGGTGGAGTACTTTAATTTTGTTACTTTTCTATTTTGTATGAAGCTAGTGTATGGCTGGACGTTGTGAAAGTCTCTTCGTTTGGTTTTTTGGGTCTAGGGCATGACTGCAATGGCCGGGGAAGCTCTTTGTATTTCGTTGCATCGTCCTGACGAAACAATACAAGAAAATAAAATACTTTTTTTGCGAGATAAGAGAATAAAATACTTAGTGATCTAATAAATAATATAATTGCATATTTCATCTGTATGTTGAGGCGGCGGTGATAATTGCAAGATCGTGGTGACCCGTGTTGGTCGGCGGTAAGTTTGGTGGAGCGTGACAGATCGTCCGGGGTTATGGGTGTTTGGCAGACGGGAGAAATCCCTGTCGGCTTGCCCGGTACCGGCGCGGTGACACCCATGGGCGCCACCGTTTCTTCTTGAAGGGCGCCGGGTATTCCCTTCCCCATGCCCCTCCGGGTACGGGGGAAACCCTAGGACCAGTCCGGGCAGCAGCATTGTATTCGTCATGTTCCTTCCCGAAGGTGTTGCTTGATATGCGGAGGTTCGAAGTGCTAGCAGTGTGGTGGAAATTCTCTGGTGGGCACAGCGGTTGTGGGTCATCATCGTTTTCGTCGATCCGACGTTGTTGACATTAGTTTCTTCCTTCCTTCTTGTTTGTTTCATTTGGGCATGCTTGTGTTGTTTGCCCTAGCATTGGACTCACAGTTGTATCGGGTGGTTGCTATATTTATATTAAGAAAAAAGATTTTCACGCTTTATATTATAAAGCATCCATCACCGATTACAATCGAGAGCCGATACAAACACACACCACCACTACACACACCATGCACCCAAGGCAAGAACACACACCCACGGAGAGATAGAAGGGTGCCAGGCACCGACACACCACTCCAACAAACTACAAAGCACACTAAAGATGAGCAAAGAGGCATCACCTTGAGTCGACCGAGATCACCATGAGCAACCAGCGAGAAGAGGTGAGACGACCGACGATGGAGCAAGGAGTCCAAAACGGTGCCTCCAACAAGGGCACGACCATAGCCGCCACCGTTCGATCACACAGATCAGACTTTCACCCGGAGTCACCCGAAGGGAAATGGGGCACCGCGACGGAGCCTGCAGGAAGGAAACGACGTCCGCAGACGCCGCCACCGTCGGCCAGTACGAGGACTGGGCAAGTGATATACCCCGGTGCACCAACCCTTCGGCATATCCCCTGCTCCGCCAACCACCCACATCCATGCCGCTCGCGCAGCCATGTCTGCTCGCCCGCACCCGAGCTGCGCAATCTGCCCAAGATCCACGCATCTCCCGCCGCCAGGGCCGCCGCCCAGCATCCAGACCGTCCCGGCACCCTCAAAGGAGACGGCTTTGGACGGAGCCAACTCCCACCATCGCCGCAACCGGCAACGACCGTCCCGCCTCGGACATCGCATGGGACAACAACCATGAAGCCTCAGGCCAGGGAAAGGGGAAGGGGAGGTGCGCCACTCGGCCACTCCCGGCACCCACGGTGCCGGTGACGG